CCCCATACAACACCATATACCCCTATATACCCCTATACAACACCATATACCCCTATATACCCCATACAACACCATATACCCCTATATATACAACACTATATATAATTTATATACCCTTTATTACACATATATACCCCTATACAACACTATATGCCCCTTTATATACCCCTATATACAATACCATATATCCTTATATACCCCTATACAACACTATATACCCCTATATACCCCTATACAACGCTAATACCATATATATATACCCCTATACAACACTATATATACCCCTATAATATATACCCTATATACCCCTATATAACACCATATACCCTATATACCCCTATATATACCCCATACCCCTTATATACCCCTATACAACACCATATACCCCTATATACCCCATATACAACACCATATACCCCTTTATATACCTTATTATATATAATTATATACCCCTATACAACACTATATGCCCCTATATATACCCCTATACAACACCATATACCCTTATATACCCCTATACAACACCATATACCCCTATATACCCCTATACAACACCATATACCCTTATATACCCTATACAACACTATATTCCCTATATATACCCTTATACAACAATTATATACCCTTTATATACTCCATACAACACCATATACCCCTTATATACACTATATAATAATATATAATTTTATATATATACTTTATATACCCTTATATACCCCTTATACAACACTATATGTCCTTTATATACTTTTATATAACACTATATATACCCCCTTTATATACCCCTTTATACAACAATTATATACCCCTTATATACCTTTATATAAATAATTATATACCCCTTTATATACCCCTATATAAACAATTATATACCCTTATATACTTTTATACAACACTATATAATAATTATATAACACTATATACCCCTATATACCCCTTTTATACAACACTATATATAATTATATAACACTATATAACCCTATATATCACTATATACAACACTATATACCCCTATATACCCCTTTATACATCACTATATACCCCTATATACCCTATACAACACTATATACCCCTATATACCCCTTATATATCACTATATACCCCTTTATATACCCCTATATAACAATTATATATACCCTATATACCCTTTATATAATAATATACCCCTTTATATACCCTTTATACAACACTATATAACCCTATATATAATTTATACAACACCATATACCCTTATATACCCCTATACACCATATACAATTATATACCCCTATATACAACACCATATACCCCACTATATAACACTATATGCCCTATATATACCCCTATATACAACACTATATACCCCTATATATACCCTATATACCCCTATACATCACCATATACCCCTATATACCCCATACAACACCATATACCCCTATATACCCCTATACAATACCATATACCCCTATATACCCCTATACAACACCATATACCCCCATATACCCCTATACATCACCATATACCCCTATATACCCCATACAACACCATATACCCCTATATACCCCTATACAATACCATATACCCCTATAGACCCCTATACATCTCCATACACCTCCATACATAACCATACACCCTTATACATCACCATACATCCCTATACATTCCCATACACTACTATACATCACCATACACCCCTATACATCACCATACACCCGTATACATCACCATACATCCCCATACATTACCATACACCTCCATACATAACCATACACCCTTATTCATCACCATACATCCCTATACATTACCATACACTACTATACATCACCATACACGCCTACACATCACCATACATCCCTATACATCACCATACACCCCAATACATCACCATACATCCCTATACATTACCATACACCACCCATACATAACCATACACTCCTATACATCACCATACACCCCTATACATCACCATACATCCCCATACATAACCATACACGCCTACAAATCACCAAACATCCCTAGATATCACCATACACCCCCATACATCACCATACTCCCCTATACATCACCATACATCCATATACCTCACCGTACACCCCCATACACCGCTATACATCACCATACACCCCCATACATAACCATACACCCCTATACAGCACCATACACCCACATACAACACCATATATTCCTATACATCTCCATACACCCCTATACATCACCATACACCTCCATACATAACCATACACCCTTATACACCCTTATACATCACCATACATCCCTATACATTCCCATACACTACTGTACATCATCATACACCCCGACACATCACCATACATCCCTATACATCACCATACACCCCTATACATCACCATACACCTCTATATATCACCATACATCCCTATACATCACCATACACCCTCATACATAACCATACACCCCTATACATCACCATACACCCCTATACATCTCCATATACCTCCATACATAACCATACACCCTTATACATCACCATACATCCCTATACATCACCATACACCTCTATACATCACCATACATCCCTATACATCACCATACACCCCTATAAATCACCATACACCTCCATACACAACCATACACCCCTATACATCACCATACAGCTCCATACGTAACCATACACCCCTATAAACACCATATATTCCTATACATCCCCATACACCCCTATAAATCACCATACTCCCCTACACATTCCCATACACTCCTATACATCACTATACACCACTATACATCACCATACACCCCTATACATCACCATACACCTCCATACATAACCATACACCCCAATACATCACCATACTCCCCTATACATAACCATACACTCCATACATAACCATACACCCCTATACATCACCATACACCTCTGTACGCGAAGTTCTTGGAAGGATTAACGTATGGGTTTTGAATAACAGTATCTATTCCCCGGGGGGAGGAGGTACTCCCATATATGGGCTATATAGGTACGTGCCGCGCAATAGAGTATGGTTTTTGAAGTTCTCGGTCCTTAAATAGGGTATCTTTCTTGACCCTTTTGTTTCTGTGTCCCTGGTGTGGTCCTTAGATAGGGTAGGTTAATTGCATTATCTAATACTGGAGTGGGAAAATGCGCGCCTAAACGAACGGTTTTGATTTTGGAACAGAGGTTTAATAGACGTTAAGCGGGTAAATACACGTAACGCCTATTCAAGCCACATGTTTGTTTTTTCCTTGAATAGGGTGTCATTTTTCGGCTTTGGGCCTTAAAAAGGGTACCAGTTTTCTTAGCTTTTTATTGGATAATACCCGACCCGCGATGCCAAACAAAAACAAAAATGAACAAAAAAAAATGCTCACACTTTATTAAGGTATATTGAATGTACTTCCTGACTTTCATGGACATGCATTAAACGGCTTAATTTGGTAGGTCACATGAACTATGGCTCGTGGAGTAATATAACTAAGTAAAACGTTGCGAAATAAATTGCACAAGCTTTGTAGCACTTTGATCCCGGCTGAACCGTATATTACCAAGATCGATGCCACCCAGCGACAGTTAGATGTTCGACATCAAGGGGACATAATGAGAAATTTAATCATTGTTTCTTGCTTATTCTTTGTTTTGGGATTTAAAACAATCATCTGTGTTCTTCTTGGAAAAGAAGAAGGACAATATCTGCGGGATGTCTTAAGAGAGTTTGAGTGTACACCGCAAAATGGAAGGTTTGATCAAATTGTTGAAGGGCCACACACTATGTCAAAATTAATACCAAAATTATTTATCTGGTGTCCAATAAGACATTACGGTTTGACTATTTTATGTCCTATTCATGGCTGTCCTCTGAAAGTCGGACAGTGGACCGATCTTCCTGACTCCTCCAACACAAGTCCAAGAAACCCAAGATTGATTTACGACTTGAACGGAAATGTTATTCTGGTGTAGGCGTTCTATGAATGCAGTGAAAGTTTGCCAGAAAACGTGATGATTGGACATCGGTATTTGTCCGCATCAAACGATGTGTTAGGCGCTCTCCCTGAAAGTGTTGTTAAGGGATTTCCTCTTATAATGCAGCAGAGAAGCGGTTTTACGCTGCGTCTTTATGATTATTTAATAACTGGTATTTATCAAGGACAAAACTTCATGGAATTATCTGAAGGCATTGCATCAATGAATTACAGACAGTACACGCGTAATAAACCGGACAGCAAAGAGTTATCTGTAAAGGAGTTTGAGAGTATTCCTTTCATTGCCTATCCAAGCAACGATAAACTAATGGATTTGTTTCTTATGCAGTTTGAGCGGAACTAAAAACATTATGAGAATAACATGCAGAAACACACAGGGGAGATTCTGTCCTGTGACCACACCTTTAGAACGAGTAAACATATCGGGGTAACCCGCGAGGACGGCAAGTTTGTAGGCCAGTTTAAAAACGTCTTCTTGGGGGTGAACGAAAACGGAGAAGTTATGATATGGAAGTTTACGAAGACGACTTCTTCGTCCGAAATTATCGACTCACTTAAAGAACTGAAAGAGAGGCTTGATAAGGCAAGCACTAACTTAAAAATGATAATAGTGGATGACTGTTGCCACGTGATGCACCTATATGGACAAATATTCCCGGGGATAAAGGTTCGGCTAGACTTATTTCACGCGTGTATGAGAGTTGTACAAACGGTACGCAAAAGCGAAGATTACAGTAAACAATTTGCTAATGAATTTTCTTTAATTTTCCGTCAAAATGGAGACCTTGGTAACGAGAGAACAATGAGCCGCACCTTGTCCTGATGAAATAGAATCAAATCTTGAACGTCTTCTATTTGTTTGGAGAGAAAAGCTGAAAACGGAAACCCTTCTTCAAATTGAAAATTTGCGCAAGCATATAAAAAAAGGATGTCTCTCGGAAATACCTGTTGGATGTGGGACTGAAATAAATGAGCGACTTCACAGACATCTTAACCGATCATTACTGTGCGGAGTATCCAAAATTGGACCTGAGTTGGCGGTAGCGGTAATGGCGTGTGCTTTGTATGCATGGAATTGCAAACGAAGATTAAAAACAACCCTCAATAAGAGAACAATTCCGATCACGCCAATTGAATTAGAGCCTTTAGAGTCTTTAAACCAAGCGACCCCTTATCTTCAGTCTCATATGACGGCTGTGGATTCTACGTCAACGTCATTACCGGGTTCAATATCTGGAACTGTCTCTGAAAATAGCAGTAAGGCTAGTAGAATGCCACGGACATCATCCGTTTTCGTCACAGTTAAGACTGTGGAAGAACTGGAAAACGATTCCATCTTGAACTACATTTTGGAACGAGCGCTGCACATACAAGAATTTATCACCAGTTGGACAACAAAATGTAACAACAAAACAATAGATTTGATTGGTCTTCTCTGGAAGATAAACTTACCGGCAGCTAACCTTTATGAACAGGAGTCAAAGTTAAACGTTATGGAATTAAATTTGACCCCACAGCACAAAGATAACCTGTTAAGAAATCTCACAGGATTTGATCTTCAGTTGGACCCAATTAACAAAGACGGAAACTGCTTCTTCAGAGCAACAGCCCGGCAGCTACAAAAACACTTGCAACGTTCGGATTTGCAAAATCTACAGCATATTTCCTCACTGGGGCTTGGAATCAACGAGGAACGTGACACGGAAAACCTCAGACTACTTTTCGTGCGTGAAGTCACTGAAAATCTCGATGAATACAGGGAGTGGATGTCCTGTTCGTCAAATGTACGAACAGGGTTACAAATTTAACCTCGGGTCAGAGATCATAGGCGAATTGAGGGAAAGGTGCACTGCATGTTTAAAAAAATGTGCATGAGTGTATAATCAGGTTTAAAACATTTGTGAAGCCGAGAGGTTTTACACCTGGTAATACACAATTGCGAGTTGCGAGTTGTTTTGAATGGCTTCAAATTCTCCGCTAATTTTATAGATGAACTCATTTTTGCACAAATATATTTAGATTTGTGGTTATTATGGCCTAACAATTGAACGTAAAGGTTAGCCGTTTTTTTTTTTTTTATCAGACATAAAGACACTCATTTTACAAACAAAAATTTCTTTGTTTAGTTTTGTTTTTAATGAATTATTAATGAATGTCTGAAGTTTATTTATGCTTTTGTTGATTATATACTGTGAAAGAGCTTGGCCTAGGAGATAACTATCAACCAATCAGACTGCCCAAAAACACCAAGCCTGAGTGGATATATACTAAATAGATTTTAGTTACCGACAATAATTGCAATGTATTTAGCAAATATACCTATCTGCTATTTGTGAATTAGATTTTCAGTGAAAAGCTCAACAGAGTATGGTATCTCCATCCAGTACATATAATAATTCAATATCGGTTTTTATTGATGAACTTGAAATTTGAAGGTCATATACCAATAATGAAAATAAATGAATAGATGAATTAAATAAATAATGTTTTCTCTACTGACCTTGGAGCTAGTAGCCGAATTGCGGAGGAACTGCGGAAATCAGACGCATTTGCAGTCACTTCAGTCCATGTTTAATCTCACCGCCCCCTCCCCCCCTCCACCCCCCAGTCCCATAACGGCACAAGTCGGCCGGCTTACTCTTCGAACCAAGAAACGACGAAAACGAAGCCAACGAGAACGCCCCCAAAACAATAAGAATATGCTGGGATTAGCAAAACACTACGACTTTACTTTGCCGTTGCGTGACTGCGACGTGATGTTAGATTGAGCTTTTTAAGCCACCATCTTTTTGGAATTTAAGCAATTAAAGGACTTTTTGCAGACAGCTATACCACCACGGGGGCAACCATGCTATGCAGGCACACCACTAGTGGCGAGCTTTGACAAGAATTAATGCTATATATGCTTTGCTGAATGTAAGGCATCTAGAAATAAAATGGGACAATGACACACATAAAAGTACTATATAGGGTTGTATGGTGATGTATAAAGACGCATATGGGAATTTATAGGGGTGTATGGGGACGTAGAGGGGTGTATAGGGATGTATAGGGATGTATGGTGTTGTATAGGGGTGTATGGTGATATATAGGGGTGTATGGGAATATATTGGGTGTATGGGGATGTATAGGGATGTATAGGGATGTATGCTCTTTTTAGTTTAAGAAAACACACAAACTTTAGCAAATTAAAACCTTCTCTTGCTTGCAAAATATTTGAAACGATGATTTCCCCGATATTATCATATAATAGCGAAATTTGGGGTGTATATGTAAAACATGATTTTAAAGCTTGGGACAATACCCCAATTGAAAAAACCCACTTGAAATTTTGCAAGCGTTACCTAGAAATAAGCAATAAAGCTTCAAATGTTGCAAGTAGAAGTGAATTGGGACGGTTCCCATTAATTATTAATATTTATAAAAACATCCTTTATTACATATTGTATCTTCTGCGTAAAAACGAGGATACTATTGTTAAACAAGCCTTTCGTACTTCGCTAGAACTTCACTGTAATGGTAAAAATAGCTTTTACAATAATCTTATGAAAATATCTGAATATTATGACCTCCCTGATTTTGATCCTAATAATTTAAGTGAAGCTAAGATCAAACACTATATAGATATAATAAAACAAAAATATATTGCATATTGGCAACATACAATCCATCATTCTAAGAAACTACAATTTTACAGCTTATTTAAACATGATTATAAAATTTCAAGTTATCTAGACTTAATTAGAAATTCTGCGAATAGGAAAGATTTAGTGAAAATTCGTATAAGTAACCACAAACTCATGATTGAAACTGGAAGATATAATCAAACTTCCCGCAACGATAGACTCTGTCCTATTTGTAACTCTGGTATAATTGAAGACGAATTTCATTTTCTCTTCCATTGTCCAAAATACTCAATCCCAAGGGAGAAATTCTACGATCAAATCCAACAAAATTTTGTCGATTTTGATCAGATATCTTACACAGAATTAATAATTAAATTGATGAATTCACAGAATTTTTCCGTGAATTCACATTTGTTGAAATTTGTCTCATTATGTAATGATTTACGTAATAATTTGTTATCAAGTCATGCTGATGACACTTGATTGACTACAGTCATCATTGCATTATCATTGTTATGATTTGTTTGTTTGTTTGTTTGTTTGTTTGTTTTTATATTAAAGCTTTTGCAATACTGTAACTACATAATTATAGTCATGCAAATAAAGCTTATGTTGTTGTTGTTGTTGTTGTTGACTGGTGTTGTATAGGGGTGTATGGTGATGTATAGGGGTGTATGGGAATGTATAGGGGTGTATGGGGATGTATATGAGTATATAGTGTTGTATAGGGGTATATGGCGATGTAAAGGGGTGTATGGTGATTTATGGGGGTGTATGGTGTTGTATATGGGTATATGGGAATGTGCTGGGGTGTATGGTGATGTATAGGAGTACATGGTGTTGTATATGGGTATATGGTGTTGTATAGGGGTATATGGCGATGTACAGGGGTGTATGGTGATGTATAGGGGTGTATGGTGATGTATAGGAGTATATGGTGTTGTATATGGGTATATGGTGATGTGCTGGGGTGTATGGTGATGTATAGGAGTACATGGTGTTGTATATGGGTATATGGTGTTGTATAGGGGTATATGGCGATGTACAGGGGTGTATGGTGATGTATAGGGGTGTATGGTGATGTATAGGAGTATATGGTGTTGTATATGGGTATATGGTGTTGTATAGGGGTATATGGTGTTGTATAGGGATATATGGTGATGTATAGGGATGTATGGTGATGTGCTGGGGTGTATGGTGATGTATAGGAGTACATGGTGTTGTATATGGGTATATAGTGTTGTATAGGGGTATATGGCGATGTATAGGGGTGTGTGGTTATGTATAGGGGTGTATGGTGATGTATAGGGATATATGGTGATGTGCTGGGGTGTATGGTGATGTATAGGAGTACATGGTGTTGTATATGGGTATATGGTGTTGTATAGGGGTATATGGCGATGTATAGGGGTGTATGGTGATGTATAGGGGTGTATGGTGATGTATAGGGGTATATGGTGTTGTATAGGGGTATATGGTGTTGTATAGGGGTATATGGTGTTGTATAGGGGTGTATGGTGTTGTATAGGGGTATATGGTGTTGTATAGGGGTATATGGTGTTGTATAGGGGTATATGGCGATGTATAGGGGTGTATGGTGATGTATAGGGGTATATGGTGTTGTATAGGGGTATATGGTGTTGTATAGGGGTATATGGTGTTGTATAGGGGTATATGGTGTTGTATAGGGGTATATGGTGTTGTATAGGGGTGTATGGTGTTGTATAGGGGTATATGGTGTTGTATAGGGGTATATGGTGTTGTATATGGGTATATGGTGTTGTATATGGGTATATGGTGTTGTATATGGGTATATGGCGATGTAAAGGGGTGTATGGTGATGTATGGGGTGTATGGTGTTGTTTATGGGTATATGGTGTTGTATAGGGGTATATGGTGTTGTATAGGGGTATATGGTGTGTAATAGGGGTATATAGGGGTATATGGTGTTGTATAGGTGTATATGGTGTTGTATATGGGTATATGGTGTTGTATAGGGATATATGGCAATGTAAAGGGGTGTATGGCGATGTAAAGGGGTATATAGGGGTATATGGTGTTGTATAGGGGTATATAGGGGTATATGGTGTTGTATGGGGTATATAGGGGTATATGGCGTTGTATAGGGGTATATAGGGGTATATGGTGTTGTATAGGGATATATAGGGATATATGGTATTGTATAGGGGTATATAGGGGCATATAGTGTTGTATAGGGGTATATGGTGTGTAATAGTAAGGGTATATAAAGGTATATGGTGTTGTATAGGGGTATATAGGGGTATATGGTGTTGTATGGGTTATATAGGGGTATATGGCGTTGTATAGGGGTATATAAAGGGGCATATAGTGTTGTATAGGGGTATATAATTGTGTAATAAAGGGTATATAGGGGTATATGGTGTTGTATAGGGGTATATAGGGGTATATGGTGTTGTATGGGGTATATAGGGGTATATGGTGTTGTATAGGGGTATAGGTGTTTATAGTGTAATAATAATAATATATAGTCAGATATAATAATTATGTTTAGGTACATAATAATAATCATATATGAAGTACCTACCTTCGCTCACGCTCATTGGAAACGCTCTATATTTGGCGTCCATTTTGAAAATAATTGCAACCTGCGATCAGGCAATTTTTTTTTCTTGGTTTAGTCTTGCTTCCTGATAGCACCACAAGACATCTGAGGGTTGTTATATATTGTTATCGATCTGTCAGCCTTCAGTGATCGATCGCTTCACTCGTGAAGCCACCCTTTTATTTTTGAGATAAAGACACGGTTGAGCACAAACCTCGTGATGCGCAAGTATAATTTGAAAGTTGGAGTGTTTCATTGTACTAAGGCTGTCCAAGGAAAGAGATTTTGATGGAGAATGCAGATAGCATAAAGACGAGGTAAGCTGCCCTGGTAC